TGTTAGGCTTTTAATAAATGTTTTAAGATAATTTGATGAGAAATAGAAAAAATACTTCTGAATAGTTTGGTATTAAATAAAATCTAAAATTTACTTGGTATCCAACATAGAAGAGTTAGCATGAGAAGTGATTGTTCCTTTTTGAAATTTGCATGAGGAGACAAGAGGAAATACTTGGAAAATTCTGTAAGGCACTACATATTTGAATGTAAATACTGTGGTTCAAACTATAATAGTACTGTGATAGTTGAGAAGTGGCAGACCTTAACTGAGTATGGAGTGTTACATGGTAAAGGAGGAAGTTCAATGTGGATTGTAAAGGATGGATAGCATTTAGGTAAATTTGAGAGAGGAGTCAACAGTTAACTGGGAATCGCGTAAGAGAGAAGACAATATGCTTTGATGGAAAAAATAGTCCATTTAGATGTTATGGTCTGCCTGAGCCTGCGGGTTCGAGACCTGCCTGGGCAACTTGGCGAGACCTCATCTCTACAATAAATCAAAAATTAGCCAGGCCTGGTAGCACGTGTCTGTAGTTCCAGCTTCTTGGAAGGCTAAGGTGGAAGGATAGCAGGAGCTCAGCAGGTCGAGGCTGCGGTGGCTGGGAGTGGCCACTGCACTTGTCTGGGCGACAGAGTGAGACTCCAACTTAAAAAAATAAAAATAAAAATAAAAGCAAAGTACTACTGCTATGTAATTGAGCAGAGATTCTGTTATAAATTTTATGTAGATTTTATGTTTAAATTTTCCAGTTTTGCCGGGCTCGGTGGCTCAGCCTCTAATCCCGCGTCTTTGGGAGTCTGAGGTGAGTGGATTGCCTGAGCCAGCGGGTTCGAGACCCGCCTGGTCAGCGAGACCTCATCTCTACAATAAATCAAAAAATCAGCCAGGCGTGGTAGCGCATGCCTGTAATTCCGGCTCCTCAGAAGGCTGAGGCGGAAGGATTGCCGGAGCCCAGCAGAGACTCCAACTCAAAAAAAAAAAAAAAAATTTTCCAGTTTGAACTACATTGAAAGGTAGATGTTAGTCATTATGCATTTTGGAATACACACACACAGAGGGAGAGGCTTCTGTTCTGTTTTGAAGCTTAATAAAGTAATAACATTTCTGAGAAGGACCTGCATAATTTAGTAATTCACTTAATTGCTTAGATATATTAAGTTGAGTATCTTGAATCATTATTGAAGATAAACCTAGAGTATAACTTTTTGGTAATCAATAGTTTGATACTTTTTTGAAAATGTTACCAGTAATTGAAGCTCTGTATGAGAAGTTCACAGGTAAACCTTCAAGGCCTACTTCTTGAGAAATCTAAATAAGACATTTATAATTATGCATCAAAGGCCTTAGCCAATCAAGTCCTAATAGTGTATTTTACAGCTCTGATACATAATAAAGGCTTAACAAAAGGGAACTCCTTTGAGGACTGTAATAAGCAAGGAAGTGTGTTAAAGTAATTATATACAAGTCTGCATTGGTATACAGAGTGACCGTGGAATGAGCGGAAATCTTGTCTGACTATTCTCTTACCCCCATTTATATAGCATGTTAAATCAGAAGGCTAAAAGAATAAATATCTTTATACTTTACTTTTGTTTATTTTCATAGAGCTAATGGAGTTTAAGTAGCTCATTAAACAATTGTGTCTTCAAACCTTGACTTTCATTTATATACCTTTTGTAAAGAAGTCTGTAGACAGGGGAAAGAAAAGAAGCCTATTTTTCCTTGTTTGTCATATAAAACCTAGAATTTAAGACTACTTCAGGATTACATATCTATCTAATAAAGTTGGACTCTTTCCTTCTAATGCTTGCTCATTGACAGTAAAAGCCCTCCTAGGACACATTGATACCATTGTAGGCTCTTCTGGCTCAGTTTGTTCAATTTATCCCACCACTTATCAAATGGATGTGGATGATTATAGTGTAATGTTAGGGATGAGCTGATACTTGTGACAGAGGACCTGGTAAGTTGTTTATGAAATCTTTGTGGAAGTCAGCTTCTGTGAATCAGGCTTGGCTTCAGATATTGTCTACTTCTGTGGCATAGAGAGGAAGTGATGAGGACTGAAATTTTCTAAGATTCTAATTTATAGGTATAGTAGAATGAAGACCCAAACATGCAAAACTAGAAGACCAACTGTATTATAGACTTGGGTACCATGAATAACTGGCAGCAAGTATCTTAGGGAGGTATGTCTCTGCTAAGAACTACAGATAAAAATTTCATTTGGAAGTATGAAACAAAGCAGTGATTATTTCCAGGCAAGAAAAATATTTATGGTTAGCAGACATTGTAATTACAGAAGATTTTTCAGTTAGAGTCAAGATGAGAAGAGATTTTCAGTGGTCTGAGGAAAGAGCAGGGTTCTGAGAAGAATGGCATACAACCAGAGAATGAAGACAGAAACCAGCTGTACAGATTGGGTAAACAGTGGGGATTCACAGAGTAAACACAGAAATGCTATAGCTTAAACAGCAGAGCTAATCCTTTTCAATTAATTTGTTTAATTCAAACCAGTTCAAAAAATATTTGTAGACATCTCTAATACTTAAGGAGTCATTGATACCCTGGAGATTAATAGAAAGACTACTATGAGGAAGTCCTTACTATTTGTTGCTGAGAGTTTTTTTTTGGAGATGTAGACCTGAAAATAGCAGAATATGTAAGTGCTAACATAAGAACAAAAACAAAATGACATATTTTAAGCTTCCTGTAAAAACTTTATTTCATAAGTAGTGAAAGCCATTGAGGTTTGAGGGGATGTATTTGTTTTAAACAGAATTAGTTTTGGTGGAAGTATATAGTGTTTGAGAAATGATAAGGGACAAATGAGAGACAGTGGCTCTGGAAATGTGATGGGATGAAAAGAGAATTTCCTCTTACAAACAATGCAGACACACCTAGAAAATAATTAAGAATATGGTAAAACTGTTACAAGATGTTAACTTGGATAACTGAGAAAGCAGTGGTGGTGTTACTCTTCTTAAGTGCATTGTGAAAGACCTGACTGAGGGCAAAGTAGAAGGGGGTTTATAATGTTAATGCTGAGCCTGATTGTGGACTTTTTTATTTGTTCAATGTAAAACAAGGCTTTTTTTTTTTTTGTCAGTTGAATTAGGAAATTGGATATGCTGTTTTCAGTACAAGACTGTTAAGTGCTGAGATAAAAATCATTTCTCTCTTCAACAGATTTGGCCAGTATAATTAAATAAAAAGGAAGCTCTTTTTAAAAAATCCTAAGAGGATAAAAGCTTTTCATAGAGTGATAGCTATAGACAATGATTTCAACATGTATTCTAGCAGTGAGGGGGAACATTGAGGGATCAAATGTCTTTTATGTGTTGTTTATAAAAGTTAAAATAAATGTGGTCATCCAAAGGACAAAAGGTAGGGGAGTGGAGTCTGTTCAAGCAAAAGGGTAAGAGAAAAGCAGGGCTCTCTCCCTGGAAAGAGGCAATGACTTTTGTTTTCCATCACATTTTTCTGGTACTCTTTCTTTGCTTAGGTGAAGATATAGACATATATATTTATAAACCAAAATCAGAGTAAAGACAATATAACATATGTTTCCCAGTGTTGATGCACATTAGGTACATCATGGTAGCATTCTAATTTTACAGTTGTCCAAAGATAAAGTTATGGCCTACTGGCTGACTATGTATGAAGCTCTCATATTCACATTGCAATGAAGTTTACACATTTCCTGATAAAACCAATGTATCCAAAGAAATTTTTCACAGAGAGAAAAAAGAGAGCAACCGCAATATTATCAGAAATTTATTATGTATCTATCTAATATCAAAAAAAAGAAAGTTACTAATCCTAGAAATTTGAATTTAAATTTAAATTAAAACTAGTTAATGTGGGTACAGATCTCTCATAAGATAGTTTATAGAAAAGATGAGTGAAAATATATGTAAAGAATTATACTTTTAATTATATTTTTGCTTTCATCTTGTGACATGATTATCTTATGACATGATCATGTAAGAATATGGAAGAAAAATGAGAAAAATGAATAATAAAACAGCAGAGTTGACATTGATAATAGGAGATATTGGCGAGTGGATAGATGCTTCTAATTTAAGGGGGTGCTATTTTTTTTATTTAACTTTTTTGGAGAGAATGTTCTCTTTCTAACTCAGCATGATTAACAATTTTTGTTTTCACATAGCTTAGTGTGTTGCCTGGAAAGAGGAAGTAATGCTTTGCTAATTTAAAAAATTAGCAATGAGGCCAGGCTCGGTGGGTCAGCCTGTGATCCCAGCACTTTGGGAGGCTGAGGCGAGTGGACTGCCTGACCCCACGGGTTTGAGACCCGCCTGGGCAACTTGGCGAGACCTCATCTCCACAATAAATAAAAAATTAGCCAGGCATGGTAGCGCATGCCTGTAGTTCCGGCTATTTGGAAGGCTGAGGTGGAAGGATTGCTGGAGCCCAGCAGGGCAAGGCTGCGGTGGCCAGGAGCATGCCATAGCACTCCAGTCTGGATGACAGAGTGAGACTCCAATTAAAAAAAATAAATAAATAAAATAAAAAATTAGCAATGTGTTCATAATTTGACAAGCCTACTCTGGGCTGTGTACCTAAATACTGTTTATGAGTCATCAAGAGAAAATATGTCATAACTGATTTATGGAATCTAATATGTTATAAATTTATTTTAAATTATACATGGTTTTATATTTCTGGGAGTAATCAGAATTTAAGTTAATCAAAGGGAAAGAATAACAAAATTAACATTGAAAAAACAAAACTATATTTTGATTTTACCCTTTAAAAAATATAGGATGTTTTGGTCTTTGAAATTTGTTCATTATTTTTTAATATAGTTAAAATTTTAATACTTTCATGTAAAAATTAATTAAAATAATTAGGTCATATTTTATGCTTTGAATGATGACATAGTTTCAAATGACAGCATGCATGTTTTGATGATATTTTTGTGTTTTAACAATATTATTACCTCTGTGACCATTGTTTTATATTATTTCTAGATAAAAGAGTGGGTCTGTTTAAACTGTCAGATGCAAAGAGCTCTAGGAGGTGATCTGGCTCCAATTCCATCATCACCCCAGCCCAAACCGAAGACTGCGCCTGTTCCTCCACCACCAACAGGAAGCAAATCATCCCCACAGTCACAGCAGAGTTCCCCAAAGAAGGATCCTGCCTCCAAACAGGATATCCCCAAGGCACCTGAGTCTAAAAAACCACCACCACTAGTGAAACAACCAACCCTTCATGGTTCTCCCCCAGCCAAGTCCAAGCAGCCTCCTGAGGCAGAGTCTTTGTCCAAGTCAGCCCCTCCCAAAGAGCCTTCTGTCTCATCTGAACAGGCCAAGGTCCCTGTTGCTGATGATAAACCAAAGCAACCCAAGGCAGTAAAGCCCCCCACAGACATCGAATCCCCATCATCAGTAACAACAAAACCGGATATTCCGAGTTCTGAAGTACAGTCACAACCTCAAGAGAAAACAACTCCTCTGCTAAAAACAGACTCTGCCAAACCCTCACATAGTTTTCCACCAACAGGGGAAAAAGTCACCCCATTTGATTCTAAAGCCATACCTCGACCTGCATCAGATTCAAAAATTATTTCACATCCTGGGCCTAGTTCAGAGAGCAAAGGTAAAAAACAAAGTGATCCAGTTCAAAAGAAAGAAGAACCTAAGAAAGCACAAACCAAAATGACTCCTAAACCAGATGCCAAGCCAATGCCAAAAGGGTCACCAACACCCCCTGGCCCACGATCTACCACTGGCCAAACTATCCCCACATCTCAACAACCCCCAAAGCCTCAGGAGCAGTCAAGACGTTTCAGTCTGAATCTGGGAAGTATTACTGATGCCCCTAAATCACAGCCTACAACTCCTCAAGAAACTGTGACTGGGAAACTCTTTGGGTTTGGAGCATCAATCTTCAGCCAGGCATCAAATTTAATTTCCACGGCAGGCCAGCCTGGACCTCAGTCACAAAGTGGGCCAGGAGCCCCGACAAAACAAGCTCCTCCCTCTTCACAGCCGCCTACTTCTCAGGGGCCACCCAAATCCGCAGGTCAGGCACCACCAGCACCTGCAAAGACTACACCAGTGAAAAAGGAAACAAAAGCCCCAGCAGCTGAAAAAGTAGAGCCCAAAGCCCAACAAATTCCAACAGCAAAAAGAACAGAAACAGAAAAAAAGCCACCACCTGTTAAAGATAGCAAACCTTCAACAGCTGAACCTCAAAAGGCTGTCCTTCCCCTCAAAGCAGAAAAGACCCTCAAACCAGAATCAACCTGTCCACTCTGCAAAACTGAACTCAACATAGGTTCTAAAGATTCTCCTAACTTCAATACTTGCACTGAATGCAAGAATCAAGTATGTAATCTCTGTGGATTTAACCCTACACCACACTTGACTGAGGTAAGCAATTCATATATTACATATGGATGTGAGTATATTGGTTTATTTAGAAATGTTTTGGTGGCCAAATTTCTGAGCAGAAAATGTATTTCTAGTGAAGAAAAAAATCAATATTGATATCTCAGAAGATATCTTGATTATGTATTACATGCTTACCTTCTTATTAAGAGTTCACGTTATTTTACTTTTCTGGGTTAATGCACGTGAAGTAAGAAGATAAAATAAACTAAATTAAGTTTATTTAAGTAAACTAGATTAATTTTAATGTATTAATTTCTTAGTTATTAAATGAATATAAAAATGAGCCATTCCTTCATGAAGACCCATAGCATTTGAGAACTATTTGGTTTTCACATGTAAGCTACAAATAAAATGTGTAATTTACAGCTGCCATTGTCTCTAATCCTCCCAGTCTCTTTAATAAACTTATAAAAGAAGTCTGGTTGGTTGAAGATCCATAAATAATATAAAATCTGTTATTTACAAAACTATTAAGAACTTTGTATGTTATTAATGTTGTCTAGTAGAAAATAGTGGTTCAAATATATTATGTCTAGGTGTATTCTAATTCTGTTTGAAATATTATTTAGCATCCTTATGAGAGAGCACTTTACTAGGAACTGTGGAAAGAAGAAAAGTTATATGGATTTCAATGACTATTGTGAAGGATTTTTTTGGTCTGGGATGACAAGAGTACTTTCTCTACAATGTAAATGACTAAAAGGCAGATGGTGAATTTCTACCTGATATAGTTGTAAAAGAATGAAATTATTAACATTAGGTTGTGTTAGTGCTATTTGAATATTTGCTTCTTGGGAGACTGAGGCGTTAAATGATCACTGCTGTCTTAAATAAGTAAAAACAATATTTTAACAAATATTTTGGGAATTAGTTTAAAATAATTGACTCTTGCTTTTATACAAATCAAAAATACTTAAGAATCATTTCACTCCACTGTACTTGATTTTGTAATTCATTATAATGGAAAAATTAAACAGATCTTATCATCTCTAAAAAATAAGTTTCTTAGTGTTGTGTGTTAAATAATTTTTAAGGAATAAACCATAAATATGTTTATTTTTTATTTTAAAAATACATAGTTTGTTTTGGCTTAATTAACAGCTTGTGAAGGTATTGTTGCTACAAGCTTCAGCAGCTTTTTTCCCTCTTTAGCTGTGATGAATAATATGATCCAAGATACATCTTAAAGGTAGATAAATTTTGGTGTCTCTTAGCACTTTGTGTTTACATTACTTATAGTGTTTTGGGTTCAGTGTAAAAACAAAACAAGAAAAAACCCTTAATTTAAAAAAATATGTCTTTAGAAGAACAGTTTTTGGTTGTGCATTCATGAGGTGGAAAATTTTGTTTTTTCCAAATACTATTGTATTTATTTTATATATTTTAAAAATTCCCTTTGATGAAAGCCTTATGGTATCAACACAATGCAGTTAATTGAAATAGTTATAAAACAAACTGCATCACTAAAAAAATAAAAATTTTGCATTCAAGGTGTATTTTCTACACATGAAAAAAGTGTATAGTGCAAATGAGGACTATAACTTATATGTATATGCATATGTACTTATGTATACATATACATTTGGATTATAGGGATTATTAGAATTCTATCAATGTTTGGAAGTAGAAAATAAGAGCTTCTTAGGTAAAGAGGCTATCAGTATACCTTTCAGAAAGATCTTTGATTTTCTCTGTGTTGGTAAATTATATTTTGGAAGTGGTGATTTGGAAAGGAGAGTTCTTGAATCAAGCAGAGAACTACCAAGGACAAGTGTGTGGCACTTCAGTTGTTTGAATAATTTGGAAATCTACATTGTCTCAAGTATTTAGATGGCTTAGATGAGGTCTTATTTTAAATAATGGTCAATGGGGTTTAGATGATCTATCATTGTTCAAATTACTTTGCTCTGTGATAATTTCTTTGAATTTGGAAGATCAAGTTTCAGAAAGAAAGAAAGAAAATCTTATATAATGAAAGTAACCAGTGTTCCTGGCTCGCCTTGACTGCTGATCTACATGAAGTTTTCAGTTAATAGAAGGTCTTGATGACCTCTGGTTTCTAGGTAAAATTCATTGGCTGGTCTGGTATCAGGGACGTGAATGAAGGTTAGTTGAGTTAAGCCTTGTTCAAATAGTTTCTAAAACTATTACCTCAAAGGACTTTGGAGAAATGGCAAATCTGGTTAGTTAGAAAAAATGGCACAGTTTGTTGTTTGCGTGTGTGTGTGTGTGTGTTTGTGTGTGTGTGTGTGTGTGTGTGTGTGTGTGTATGCACACATACATTGGTACATATATATAAATATATACATATACCTATTTATCTATAGTTGTATAAATGCTCACCAAATTCTAAATATAATTCCTAGGCTTAATTTATGGTGCGATCCAGTGTTCGTACTAATAATTCTTTTCTCATGTTTCTTGATTAGGTGTTCGGCAAACACCTCCTATGAATATATCCTTGTTTTATATATATATATATATATATTCTTCTGCTTGTGATAAATTCCTTGTGATCCAGTATTGCTGCTTGGCTAGTTACCACTGTACTTTCATACTTCTTTCAGAGAAGATATTCTGAAAATACTCAAACTTTATGCTTAAAATGCAAAGACTTAGCATTCCTCGATAAAGGATTCAGCAATTCCCATTTATTTTTCCAATAAAGCATATTCAACTCTCTGTTATAAGCCTCTGCTTCTCCTATACTCGTCTCGATGAGGCAGGACTTCTTTTTCATGCTAGTGCTACTCTGCCCCCTCTCCCTTTTGCTATTCTGTTCCTCTGGTGGTAAGAAGAGCTCATGGTTTGTCATAGGTTGGGGACTACATAGATGATATCCTCCACTCTCTTCCCACTCATTAGTACAACACACCTGTCCCTAAGGTTGTTTCCTGTTTCTCATACACAACAGCCCCACTACACCTGAGAAGCACCAAAGGCTGCCTACAGGCCTTGAGGTGCAGCCAGACCTCAGCCTGAGCTTTAGTGTTTAGCTGTTTGATGCCCAGTTCATATAAATGGTACTATAATTCATTAACCCCTGATGGCAAGAGACAATTACTTTAGGCTTCCACTCTCTGCTAACTCAGAAAATATCTTGTTTTGGAAGGAGTTTTACAAGTGGCAGTAGACATGATAGCAAAAACACGGAACCAACCATGTTGCTCATAAAAGTTGGTCTGGATAAAAAAAATGTTGTACATATACATAATGGAATATTATGCAGCCATAAAGAAGGACGAACATATCGACTTTGTAGCAACTTAAGTGGATTTAGAGCCTATCATACTCAGTGATCTATCACAGAAACAAAGAACAGAGTATCATATGTTCTCACTCATAAGTAGACCTTGAACAACAACAATACTATAAGAAAGGGATTGGCAGTAGTGGGAAAGTGTCAGGGGAGGCGGGTAGGATAGGCAGTTGAGGGAAACTGCTAGGGGAGGGAGGGGCATACCTCATTAACAAGGGTACCAGAATAATCAACATTTGTATACCTAACCCTGAATTGTACCTCACATCTTTATAATAATAAAAAAATGAAAATAAAAGTGAGAGTAGAGCTTTCTGAAATAACTAATCTTAGAGAATTTGGAAGCATACTGAGAAAAACAACCTCACTGGCAATCATTTTAGTTAGTGAATTTTAACATTCAGGATCAGTTCAAATGCAAAAGGAATAAAAAATACTCATAGTGGATATGTATTTTATTGTTGTTACCAATCTTCTCTGAAGTAACTTTTTACTCTGAAAATAAGACCTAAAACTAGAGTCATAATTTTGCTTCCTTAGTAAGATAATTATGCATGGCCTAAATAATGTATTGCTAGCATATATTTATCACTAGGCAACAAATGAGACTTTTGAGCTGATTAAGACCCAGTGGTGTAATTGAGATCCCGTCAGTTCTTTACTCTCTAGCTGGTTTCTAGGTGACTTCTGCATTTTCTATCAAATACCCAAAGATGGCCTAGTGGGGACACCTTATTTCTTAGTTTGGCAAACACATGATAGCTTTCCTTTGGTATAATGACTTAATACTTTAAATGCATATTTTTTGTGGTAATAGTTGCATAGCTCAGTGAATATACTTAAAGCCATTAAATCATACACTTTAAGCCAGGCTTGGTGGCTCAGCCTGTAATCCTGCGCCTTGGGAGGCTGAGGTGAGTGGATTGCCTGAGCCCGCGGGTTCGAGACCCGCCTGGACAACTTGGTGAGACCTCATCTCTACAATAAATCAAGAAAAAAAAAAAAAGTTAGCCAGGCGTGGTAGCGCATTCCTGTAATTCCAGCTACTTGGAAGGCTGAGACGGAAGGATCGCCGGAGCCCAGCAGGTCGAGGCTGCGGTGGCCAGGAGCAGCCACTGCACTCCAGTCTGGGCGTCAGAGTGAGACTCCAACTCAAAAAATAAAAAAATAACAAAATAAAATGAAATAAATTATACAGTTTAAATGGGAAAAAATAAAATAAAATGTATATTTTCAATACTAAAAAGCATTGAAGTACACACATACACAAAAAATTAAAGACTAAAAGAATGATAAAAATCAATAAGGTGAAAATAATCTGCCAATAATTAGCTACAAAAATTTTCATAATAGAGATCTACAGTCAACATAAAAATGTATGGTATCCATGGCAAAGAAAGATACCTGATACCACTTTTTAATGAACATAAAAGTTTATAAACTGGTTGGTAGAAATGATATCTTTGGTCATTAAGTTTTTAGAAATTTTTGGTCATTAAGTTTTAGAAATTTGTGTTACTTTTTGTTTACTGATATTTGGACAAAATATTCAAAATAGATATTTTCAGAATAAAGAGACATTTTTGTTTAAATAAGTTAGTTCCCATTTTTCTGTGCATTTTTTCATAGTTACTATTCCACTCTCTGTTAAACATATGACATTCCTTCATATAATTGAACACCTTAAATATCATTTTTGATAATTAAGTATTGCTTAATTCTATCAATGTATGTTTTGCAATACACATTCTCATATTAGGGATATGAGAAACTGCCATTTTAAAATTATATACAAGATGAACTTTTTGGACAAAAACATATTTTTAATTGTTTCCCAAGGAAAGCTTACTCATACTAGGGTTACTAAATCAAAGGAGTATCCAGTTCTCTTTGGAGATCTGATAACCGTTAACATTGTCACCACTAGTGTATGTGATTTCTTTCTCACTACATCCTTTCCAAACTTGAATAATATCATTTAACATAATATTTGTTAATTTAGAAGTCTAAAGATGCTCTAATATTATTCCTTTGACTTGCATTTTTTTTGATTACCAGAAGTTTTTCTTTAGGATATTAAATGTAAATAGATTGTTCTAATTATGATCCAGACATAGCATTGTGGAGATGTTTTAAAAAGGTAAATTGTTATCAATTATACTGCTTTTTAAAAATTCTCTCTTTTTTTTTGAGTCAGAGTCTCTCTCTGTCACCCAGGCTAGAGTACAGTGACATGCTCATTGTCACCCCGGTGTCCACCTGCTCGACTCAGGTGATCCTTCCGCCTCAGACTTCCAAGTAGCCAGAAATACAGGTGTGCACTACTACACCCAGCTAATTTTTTGATATATTGTGGAGATGAGCTCTCACCAAGTTGCCCAGGTGGTCTCGAACTCCTGGGCTCAGGCAGTCCTCTTACCACAGCCTCCCAAAGTGCTGGGATTACAGACTTGAGCCACTGCACCTGGCCACTTTTTAAAAATTCTAACATGGCAGCTGTTTGACTAGGCTAATGTGAAAGGCATTGTAACAGGCACTTTGCTTCCCACAGTCCTGTAGAGTAGGTTTCACACATAATTTAGGGATGAGGAGAATATGTATCAGAGAGGTACATTTATCATATCACAAAAGTATGATTCAGAGGCTGAGCCTGTGGTCTCTTTACTGTATTGTTTAAATAACCTGTTTCTTATTGTATGCTCTCTTGTATCTGTTGTTAGTTGCCAGGATTTTAATGTCAACAAATTTGTAAATGTGTGCATCAAAGCCAGGTAACATTTTAGGGCCCCCAGAGTAATGGTGACAATGTTACACGACTGAATTTAGAAGAATGGAGCAGATTCAGAAATTCAGAAACGTAGATGCTGGCATCATTGTGCAAGTTGTCTTTCCAGCTTAGTCTACCAACTGGTTAGCATTCATAGGTGAAGACATATGACTCAATGATCAAATAATGTATCTGCCTTCATATGTAGTCAGTATGAGAGTATAAAACATACTTGTCCTAGTTGCAAGAAATACTTTTATATTCCCGTCATTGCATACAAATTCTTCATTTCATGAAAATAATAAACACTCAGTGTTTTGTTGGAGATGGTAATCAAATCTTTGTTCCTATCAGCGTTTTTGTACTGGTTTTTTAATTATTATTATTACTTTCCTATACATTGATACTGGGCCACAGGGTATGTACATACTATGCTGGTTCTCCACGGTGGTTGTGTCAATTAGTATCCTAACCAATTTGCAGATATACTACTGCTTTTTCTAGAGAAACACTTTCTGAAATAGTCACTGGCCACAATTGCTGACGAGCACTGCAGTTAACTCAAATTAGCATGTGCTTTAAAATATATATTGGATAAATATATATTGTAAAATATATATTGGATTTCAAAGACTTAGTATTAAAAAATGTAAAATATCTCAAGAATAATTTTGATTATTCTTGAAATAATATTTTAGAATATTGAGTTAGTAGTGTTCTTATTTGATGACTTGCTCTTTTTTACTGGTCACAGGCTCCCACCTGATCTTTTATGCAAGCCATTTCTTTTTATTCCCAGTCTTGGGCTTTAACCTTGTCTCACTGATCTGATTGTTGTCTTTTGGGGTAGTAATTAATATTTCTAAATGTATAAAGTCCGAAAGGTTTCCTTTGGCACCTTCTGAATTCAGTCAAGTCCAATTACTACTGTGTTAGTGTTTTGTTCCTTAAATATTACTGTTACTATTGCCATTTTGTCACTTAACTTTTCAGTTACAATTGTATACACTGTAGTGTACAGCCATGAGGAATATATTTCTTTCTCTCTGTACAAAAAAAAAAAAAGTGAATACTCTTGACTTTGTTGCAGTTCCTTCCAGCTTTCAACTTCCTCATGTTATGCAAAATAACTTTATTTTTGCCTGTTTGACTGACTAGATGATTGGTCTCAGAGCTCCCGTCATCAAGAGAGAGACTGCCAATGCCTGGTGTGCCTAAGGATCGAAGTCCTTAGGTCCTGCTAATCATCAGTAAGCAATGCACACTATCAACTAGGGCAGGAGTCCCTAACCTTGGGTACAGATCCCTGGCCTCTTAGGAACTGAGCTGCACGGCAGGAAATAAGGGGCAGGCAAGAGAGCAAAGTTTCATCTGTATTTATAGCTACTCCCCTTCACTCACATTACCGCCTGGTATCTACATTCTGT